GGATCGTAGAATTACATCCTGGAGCAGACAGAAACACACGGGTGGTCACTCTCCGCACCGCCCACGGTACCTACACTCGCCCCGTTAGCAAGATTTGCTTACTACCGATTCCATCATCCGACGAGAAATCATCAAAACAAACCATTCGTCCAGAAGCAGAATCAAAACACCAACAATAAGTCATCGTTTCAACCAATTCCGTCACCGATGTTGCACTGGTTTCCATCCGGAGTCACCTGAAATTATAAAAATACAAGGCCCTAATTAATTAGGGACAAGGTAAGCCCCTGTCCAACAAATTATATCCGTAAAACCCCTCTACCGGGTCTTCTATTTTCCATAATATCAATTCGCTGCCGGACTGGATCATCTTCTATCGCCTGACGAGAGTAAACATCGAGGAAGAGTAAACGTCATCCGCCAACGTCAATCATCACCAGCACGGGAGCAACAACAACAACATGCCATCAGAAATAGTGATTTCTGAAGGGGCCAGGATGTTCGCGTACGAATATACTAGCGCCGCCTAGTTGTCGAAAATGATCATCACCCTTAATAAAGATCCCTCGTTCGTTGAGTTTCTACGAGTTGTCGTCCCAACAAGATGTCATCCCCGCTGTCGTCCCAACGGAGCAGAGTAACTCATGCAGCATAGTGTTGTCGTTTGTTTACTTCCTTTTTCCGCCGCCGATGAATAGCCCCGTTGTATAAAAGGACCATCCCGCATGGGAAAAACTCTCTTTTTCTCGACTACGACAACGAGGACGAAACCGATTGTGAAGAACCAAAGTGAACCAAGTCCATAGTTTGTGAAATTATTGAAATTAAGTCAAATTAAGCAAAAATAAAAGTAGATTATCTTAGTTTAACCTAAAAGTAAAATGAATTGAACTGCAAATAAAGTGAATGAAATGAAACGAAGTAAAATTTAATAAATGAGCTGAACTAAACTGAAGATTGAGTGATCTGTGAAGAAAGTGCCCGAAGTAAATTGAAACCTCTACTGCTCTCTACTTTGATATCGACACGTTGTTTGCGGTATACCGTTCCTAAGCCATTTTCTCGTAGTGATAGGAAGCGAGGTCTGGCCAAAACAGCACGGAACAACCAACCGGTGGAAACTAACGATTTTAAATTGGCTCCCTACTTGACTAGCCTATTGGTCCCAAGCAAATCAATTAACGTACCCCATTCTAGTCAAAATTCTAGTACTACACTATGTTTGTTTTGATTCGCTATGAAAGTTTGACAGATAAAATGAGGGTTTGGTGGATTTTCCTATGATTCGAGGAGTGCATCGATTAGCTTGGGACCGAAGATAGTACCATGTTTGCAAACATTTCTTTTCATAAATATCTTGGTTGACAAAGCCAGTTGTCACGAAAATTTCGCTGTTCAGCCCACAGGTGTAAATCGCCTGGAACTTTGACAACTATTTCTGCTTAAACTTATCTTGAACCTTTCCTTTTCTGGTAGCCGTGTAAACTCTTAACCTGGGAGCTGCTTGAAATCCGCCTTGACGTTTTTTTCATATCGTTCATTATAACGCAATCTGACGCGGTCAATCTGTGTGGGAATAATTTGGATTCCACTAATGAGCACGCAAAATTTTGATACGCTATTGCTCTTGCTTCGACGCCATTTTGATATCTGAATGGAAAACGGGAAAGCAAACTAGAGGCAACATTTCGTACGCACATATCTACAAAATGAGAGGTGCTCAAGTTTTTTAAATGCATGATTTAAAAAATTCACCAAATTTTAGTCGACCAATTTTTGGCTGTTCCACCCTTTACCACCTAATTGTGTAGAATTCAATTTATGAAACATCAGTCAAGCATATATCGGTACGCCTTCATAATATGTACCAATCGTACTAGTCCAACGATACTTGAAGGAGCAAAAATTTTTAAAACTTGCTTCGACTTTCATAAAACTGATCATTTGAATAGGGTAAAATTGTGCCTCGGCCTATCGTCCATTTTTAGCCAATCGAGCAGAAAACATCAGTATGAATTCAATGACGTTACTTTGTGTTCGTACGAAATTGAAGGCCAAATTTGGAATCAGTGACATCACATTTTTATCAAAATATAAACAATTTGTGATCCTTTATCAAATCCATCATATGTAAATATAAATTGATTTAGAAATCATCTGTAGTAGAAACAATCCATTTCGTCTAAACATCCACCAGGATTTGAAAGGTTAAGCACGGGTTGTGCATAGTAGAACGGCAATTAGATCAAAAACCCTGTATCTTATGGTACAGTCGAGATAAATATTGACTACCTAAGGCAAATTTGTTCACACGGTCTTTGTATTTGACTCAAATTTGAGTTGCGTTTACTCAAATTCCCAAAAATCACGGTCTCCCATAGACTGAGAAAACTTTTACTTAAATATGAGTAAATGTCACTCATATGTGAGTAAATGTTATTCAAATATGAGTGACACTTCCTCATGTAATGTGATGTGAATAGAACCCACCATCAGTGCAAGGATTACCTATGACTGCAGATACTTCACTGGTTGTAAAGTTCTGCCTGATGGTTTGTTGCAGCAGGGTGAATCAACTTCATTGAAGACCTTTGGAAGACAAACGACAAGATGTACGTCTATCAACACGTGACAAGGGACTGGCAAATCCACGAACCCTTGTCCAGTCTACAAATCCTTTGAAATCCTTAGGCTGCCCCCCAAACCCAGCATATAATAATGTTTGATTAATGAAATGTATACAAAAAAGGGTTATTTAGATCAATCAATCAATATATCTGGGAGCGCATTACCGATGCTTAATTTTCTCTAGTCATTTTAAAACAATTCCTCCTCCAGCGAATCCAACCACACAATAACTAAATATCACTTTTCTTCTTAAAGTCACTCTGTGCACAATAATGAATACGCATCCTTGAATGGACAAAAACAATTGAGTCCGACCAGTCCAGCATGTGATCATCATAAACTTTTCCAGTCTCTAAAAAATTGCTACGAAATTTCACTAATGGAGACCTCCTTCAGTTATTTCTTCATGATGTAAACTTGCATCGAACGATAGGAAGTTGGAAGTGCAATGGAGATTTTGTTCATAACTGCTAATTGACTCTTAACTCGGAGTAATTTTCAGCAGCTGCAGCAACACTTTATTCCATACTTGAACTATTTTTTCTCACCAACACCTTACATTGAAAAAAAAAAAAACGCGGATCGCAAGCACAAACACGTCACTCTTCTTCAAGCATGGCCTACCGTGGAAAGCGAAATATGAGTAACACTTGCTCATTGACACATACTCATATTTGAGATTTTTTTTTAGTCGGGTTTTTTTTTTATCCGTGGTTTTTACGAATTTGAGTAAACGGAACTCAAATTCGAGTCAGATTCAACGGCCGTGTGCAGATGCACAAAACATTCTCGATGCAGAACGGATCTTTCTCACTAGGTGGCCCTAGCGTTCGTTCCATACTGTGTTATGTCCATCTGGAAGTCGATAAAAGGATGCAGTCTTCTGTAAAGTTGTTCTGGTGGACAAGATCTGCACGACAGGCATGACAAACAATGTCATTCACAAATGATAAAGATGGTTTTGATTCCCTGGAGAAGAGTCTAGTTCCGAACTTCGAAAGGAAGATTAATGTTTAATTGTTGATGTGTTAAAAATGATTGCATTGGAATGTTGCCATTGGCGTCGCATCAAATGAAGCAATGTAGATCCAGGCTTGTCTAGACCACCCCGACGTGACGGTGATTGAAGGACACGTGTGACACTTTCAAGTTTATTATGCCCGTCTCGCTACTGTCCGAATGTGTCCTGTTTCTGCTACCATTGACCAATTTTCATGTGTCCGATTCATGGCCGGCGGTTGAATGGGCGAGCGGTCCAAATCGTGGTTTGTCTATCTGTCTGTCTGTTGCGAGCGCGAGAGCTAGCTGATTAAGATTGAAACGGCCACTGTAGTCAGTGGTAGGGACATTTGAACGATGGCATAATTCTGCTCAGATGATGATGATGATGATGACGATGATGGCGATGCGAATCTGACGTGCTGGTCGCTACCACCGTCGCCGGTTTTTCGGTTGCAATTTTGAGGTTACATAATTGGAATCGTGTTGCCACCACTGTGGCACACTGACGCTGGCTGTGGATGTGCGTGCTTATTTGTTGTTTACCCCCTCCTGGAAAACCGAGGGAAAATAATTGGTTTTTCTGGAAGATTAAATGGATACCGCAATGGATTTCCATGGTTGTCGACGGTGCTCTGTCTCACTGTGGATACTCGGGGGGACAACTTTGAGCTGTCAGCTTTGGTGCGGGAGGATTTGATTCGATGGTAGTTTCGGTTGGAAGGTTGAATTGTCCGCGGAGGGACAGAGCGCTTACAAGGTGGGTAATGCGATTGGATTAGAAGTTGGACGTGCTACGATTTGTGGTGTTGCAATGCGATTAAAACTTAAAGGGGACGTGTATGATATCGTATTTTGTGGTTTCAGAAGTAGTTGAATTAGTTTCAAAATTGATTGATTTATAACTGGAAAATCCAAAAATTAAATCAACAATCTAGCCAAACCAGAAAGTTGTATTCAATATCACTACAGTACTTGGCAATGATGAAGTCTGCAAGTATTAGACGAAATACTCGTATCTGTCAAAAGATAAGCAATTGTAACGGAATTTTAAAGGAAACAAACCAACACACTCAAAGCTCTTCATAAAGAGATTCCGTTAAGAGGTTCGACAAATATAAAAGATTTAGAATTACTTGGGAATCATTGGCTTAGGTAATAGAACCGTATATTGTCAAAATCTCCAGTTTGAACCAAAAAACATGAAACCTAAAAATTATACCGGGTTGATTTGTAAAGCGTTGCATGTCACATTAAAAAATTGATAGGTTCAAAGGCCTGGTCCCCGGGGTACATTAGGGATATTTAATACCAACACCTAGTTAGCACGTAAATCATTCGCACACACGCCCTAGCACACACGTTAGACTTACCCGTCGGGACCAGATGATTCTCGGCGTGGGATTGCCCGTTCCTCGGCACTCCATCCGCACCAGGGCATTCTTGTGAACGTCCAGTTTGTTCGCCGGTGAGATGTAATCAATCTTGGGCGGAACCAGCACCTCCAGCGTGTGGACAATCTCCTTCGGTTCCATCGAGCCTATCTGGCAGATGTAGTCACCGGCGTCGCCAATCCGTACGTCCCGGATCTCCAGGTTGTAGCCGGTGGAAAGGCTCACGTGCGGTTCGGACTGACCTTGCACCGGCATCAGCCGTATCCGGGGGTTGACGGTGACTTTGACTGAGGCCGCCGTCAGGACCGCAATGTCCCGCTTCCACGCGAGCACAAACTGGCTGGAGTTTTCTGTGTGAATGAGGAAAGAAGAGTGGACTGATTTATAGCAATCGGGCTGGCTAGCTGGCAGATTGTCGTCTATCGGGCCGAACACAAAAGCGAGCCGTGGTGTGTTGGCACTGCTCGTTATCTTTGGGAAGATCATCGCCATCATACCGAGTGTGGGTGGCTGACCGGGGCTGGTTGGCAAAAGAATAATTTCTCTTACCTGTCTCATTAATTTTGCACGGCAACACCACCGTCGAGCCGATGGCTATGCTGTACTTTTGTCCCAACGTCAGGAATCCGGGCGAGTATTTGTCTTCTTCCAAGTAATTGCCGTCCGGATAGTGCGAGGGCGATGGAGCTGTTCCTGTTGGGTGGGAAGAGAAATGGAAATGTAATTTAGTGGGGGGCGAAAATTCTGAAAGTAATGAAAATTTTCGGTCTTCTCAAATGGTGAATGACAGGCATAATAGGTTGCTTGTTCGGAGTACGTCATCTTAGATGAATGGACTTCGTTTGGCTACGATGGCTCTGAATTAATGATTAACTGGATACTTATGATCTATTTATATTCGAGAATTAAGACAACATGCTTACAATGGCATCCTTCAATTTTCAAGTCGTTTCCAAATTGTAGCACATTTCAATGGCCATACAATTTAGGAAATCCTTTCAAATTCCACCACGTCGTAGTTCTGTAGAATAAACTCTACGTCACAATGGATTTCCCATTCGATTTAAGAAAGACTAACAGAAGTACCTACGGGCATGGTTCCAACATCAGCACAAAACTTTCTCTTCCATTTGGAAAGAAACAGCACTAGAGATGATGGAGGTCGAGCGGGTGGGTGGGGGGTGTTAAAAAAACAGATTTGGTATAAAGAAGGAAAAATTACTCTCCTACATCCTGATAGAGAATTCTTTTCACTTTCAAATCGACGTTCGACGGCGGCAACGGCGTCGATCTATGGAGCTCGAAAAACTCTCTATTCACACACGCTACTGTCGACGAGGTTGCCGACGTTTTAGCAATAGAAGCACGTTTCTGACCGATAGAGATGGACCAGCTCCCGGTCACCACCATCAACAATGGCGAAATCTATGCAGTGCGTGTGTGTGTGCGAGGGTGAGACTTCCCGCAGGCAACGACAACGACCACCAGCTGGTAGAAGGTAGTAGTTCGAGATGATAATGACTATGGAAAAAGTTGAGTTTCGATTTTGGTAGCTCCTGAAGCAGGTCCGGGTAAAGTCAGAACTTTAAGAGCAAAAGTTGTCGGAAGGAACTGTCGAACAAGACCCTCATCATCGACCGAGTAAGAGAGAGAGAGAGAGAGACAAAGAGACCACCCGGTTCAGGAATTAGCATGGGTGTATCCAGGTTTCGAAATAAGGAATGGAAGGGGGGGGGGGGATTTGTTTTTAAATGGTGGATTGGGCAAAATGCATTTAGCATAAAACCGAATGCAATTGAACCGAAAGGATCACTAATTCAAATAAGCTATTACAAAAACAGCGACATTTGTCATTGTTTTAACTACCTTGAAAATTCGCATAGAGCTTTTTAGAGGACTTTGTATGTGTGCAATGAATTTTCTTTAAAATCATTTCCTTTCCCAAAGTTCTTTTCAGAACTCCTCTTAAATAAATTTAAGTATTTCTCTGGTATGGTATTTCCTTGAAATGTGGTCCAAATAGTCCAAACATTCTATACAAAACACTGCCAGTGCTGTCATGGTAAATTCATGCACCCCTTTCATTAAGGTGCATATTTGCAATGTAGGAAGGAACGTATAAATACTTGTATTAAGCACAATTTAGTTCCCTCTAATAGATACTGAGGTATGGGTATAGTTTGTTTGTATTCAACTCGCCATAAATCTTAAAATTACTTACAGAGAAGAGAAGCAACAGACCTTAGAGCACGCGCAGAAGACGACAGGCTACCGGCCCCTGATCTTCAAGAAGTTGAGGAACAGATCGGTCGACTGAAGAACAACAAAGCAACTGGTGTAGATCAACTACCAAGTGAGCTATTAAAATACGGTGGTGAAGCACTGGCTAGAGAGCTGCACTGGGTAATTGCCAAGATTTGGGAGGAAGAGATATTACCGAAGGAGTGGATGGAAGGTGTCGAATGTCCAATCTACAAAAAGGGCAACAAGTTGGATTGCTGCAGGTACTCTCCCAAAATCTATGCCGCCACCTGTCATCATTTACAAGAGAGTTCATGAGGCAATACCAGGCGGGATTCAGGGGTGCCCGCGCTACAAATTTTCGTGATTCGGAAGGTTCTGCAGAAATGTCCCAAATACAACGTGCCCACACATGATTTGTTCATCGATTTCAAATCCGCATACGACACATTCGATAGAGATCAGCTGTAGCAGATTATACACGAGTACGGATTTCCGGATAAACTAACACGATTCGTCAAGGCGACGAAGGATGTGCGTTGTTCGAGTATCGAGTCTCTTTGAATCTCGAAGGGGGTTACGCCAAGGTGATGGACTTTTGTGTCTGCTAATTAACATCGCGTTAGAAGGTGTGGTAAGAAGAGGTGAAATAGACACGAGTGGCGCAATCTTCAGGAAGTTCATTCAGCTTCTTGGCTTCACCGATGACATCGACATCATGGCACGGAACTTTGAGACGATGGCGTAAACGTACATCAAACTGAAGGCTGAAGCTAGGCAGATTGGACTTGCCATCAACGCATCGAAGACGAAATACATGAGAGGAAGAGGTTCTAGGGAAGACAATGTTAGCCTCCCACCCCGAGTTCAGACCGACGGTGACGAAATCGAGTTGGTCGACGAGTTCATGTATTTGGGCTCACTGGAGACCGCCGATAATGATACCAGCAGAGACATTCAAAGAGGCATTATGGCAGGGAATCGTGCCTACTTTGGCTCCAGAGGCCGCTCCGGTCGAATAAAATTCGCCGCCGCACGAAGTTGACTATCTACAAGACGCTGTTTAGACCGGTGGTTCTTTTGGTGTTTTCGAACGAAAGGTGTCGCCTACCATCTACGGTGGAGTGCAGATGGATAACGGAACGTGGAGGAGGCGAATGAACCATGAATTGCACCAGCTGCTGGGAGAACTATCCATCGTCCACATCGCAACAATTGGGCGACTACGGTGGGTTGGACACATTGTAGGAATGCAGCACGACGACCCAGTGAAAATGGTTCTCGAAAGCGACTCAACAGGAATTTCTTTGGAGTTCCCAAAATCTTCCATTGAGCTGATCCTGTAATTTTCTTGAAGTTCTCGGAAATTTCCCGAACTTCAGGTAACTTCTGTACTTGGTCTCTGGATTTCCCTGATTGGTCTCTGGATTTCCTTGAAATTATTCCATCTTCCCTGAAGCTTTCTGGACTTCCCAGAACTTACTTGGACTCTCAGAAATTCCCTGAATTCCACATAACTCAAAGAATCAAAGTTTTCACAATTTTCCTGAGGTTAATGGAACAGTCTGGAAGGTCTTTGATCTTTCCTGAATTTCATTCAAAATCGCTAAACTTTTTTGAACTTCTGTAGATTTTTCTGATGTTTCCAAAATTGTCTTGATGTTCTCCGATCTTCTTTTAAATTGCCTTATTTTTCTAATATTCATGAGCCTTCTCTTACGTTCCCGTTATTTTCCTGGAATTCTCAGAACTTCTGTGAAGTTCTCCGATCTTTTTATAAGTTTTCTTAACTTCTTTCGAGTTCTTTGAACTTCCCCGAAATCACAGAAAAACATACGTAACACACTTCAGTGTGTATCTTCGTTCACGCATTTAATGGTTGATTTGAATATTATCAGTTCCGCGAACTACTCGCCGCAGCGCTGGCATCGGATCGCTTTGACGTGTCTATATATTTTATAGAACTTTTATGCAATATTGTTTGCGAGTTAGAGCGCAAGTTTTTTTTCCGCGAGAAACCCGAGAGATGTCGTTACTGACGTCCTATGTTTAGAGATACTATGTTGAATGTGAAAACTTTTTCAAAGAGTTACGTCTGTTTGTCTGTGCTGAAATTATCAGGAATTCTCTAAGGTGAATTTTCCTGAATTCCTTAATCCATATAATTCACGTGGTTCCATGATTGTAACCGAAGTTTTGAAAATTTTATCGAAATTCATAGATCTACCCTGAATTTATAGGAACCAATCCTTCAAAATATTTAAATTATCTTGAATGCAAAGTGTTTCCAAAAAAATCGGAGCTTTCCTGAAGTTATAGTAACCACCCTAAGCATCTTGGCTTTTCTTTCTTCTCTACTTAAAGTCTCTAAACTTCCCTTAATTTTAACTTCCCTGAACACCACGAAGTACTTTTCGATGCTTATCGAAGCACTTAGGGTTCCATTAAGCAGTTTGTAATCCACTTCCCTAAAAAAAATGGAATTCTCTTTAGTAGGGGAAATGGATGTAATGTCGGCCTAAATACCCCTAATTTGGGCCCATACATAAATTCAGCAATCGACTAAATTTTCAATAGCGACCAAAATTCAAAAAAATATCCATTAGTACCGTCCCAATGGCGCGTTCATCTACATTGAATTGATAAATAGCAGATTTTTAGCGATGGGCCCAATCTTAGATCCAGAGGCCAACATTAGAGCCATTCCCCCAATATGCTTTAAATTCTCTTCTCAAAATGCCTTGAAATTCTTCACGGAATTATTCTCACTCTTTGCAAATTAGAGCAGTTCAACGCCAAATGACGAATCGGAAAACTCAACTTTGCATAATTGTTTGTTATGGGCAATGTTTCCCATTTTTGCTAAAATTCGTCCATTTTGGATCATGTAAAATATTCAAAATGGAGTCATTGACATTTTTAAATAAATTGTAGCTCAGGAACCGCACTTCTGATCAAAATGGCATCTGATTTGAATTGTGATTCATTGCCCATAACAAACAATTACGCAAAGTTTCAAACAAATCGGATGAGATCGATTCAAAAATTGAATTGGGTTTTGCAGGTTGGCCTTGATTTGCTCAATATTCGCAAAATTTTCTAGGAATACGTCCGTAGATGTTGTTTTAATTTTTTATAAGAAATTCTTTCAAAAATCCATGTTCGATTCTTTGGGAATCATTCTCATTTTTAAACCACTCTCGGAATTTTGTTGTCTATTAATTTATTTGATAAGCCTCAAACGAATTAACTTTACAGAGCCCAGGATTCTTGGTCACTATACAATACATCTTAAAACTATAGTCAAAAGGTACAACACAATAAACACTTCATCTTCCGCTATTGAAAAAGTCTCCTCCATCAGAACTGGAGCCACTTCCAGCGGTTTCATTGTATGCCAGTTACGCCAATGGGGATCCGAGCGCTTCCATTGCAGCAATGGACGCAAAACG